AACTTTCATCTGGAACAAGGAGAAGACTGATCAGAGATGCAGCCAAGAGGCCCATGATCACTCTGGATGAACTGCAGAGATCTACAGCTGAGGTGGGAGAGTCTGTCCATAGGACAACAATCATTCGTACACTGCACAAATCTGGCCTTTATGGAAGAGTGGCAAGAAGAAAGCCATTTCTCAAAGATATCCATAAAAAGTGTTTAAAGTTTGTCACAAGCACCTGGGAGACACCAAACATGTGGAAGAAGGTGCTCTGGTCACATGAAACCAAAATCCAACTGTTTGGCCACAATGCAAAATGATATGTTTGGCATAAAAGCAGCACAGCACCCTGAACACACCATCCCCACTGTCAAACATGGTGGTGGCAGCATCATGGTTTGAGCCTGCTTTTCGTCAGCAGGGACAGGGAAGATGGTCAGAATTGATGGAAGATGGATGGGGCCAAATACAGGAACATTCTGGAAGAAAACCTGTTTGAGTCTGCAAGAGACCTGAGACTGGGACGGAGATTTATCTTCCAACAAGACAATGATCCAAAACATAAAGACACATCTACAATGGAATGGTTCACAAATAAACGTACCCAGGTGTTGGAATGGCCAAGTCAAAGTCCAGACCTGAATCCAATCGAGAATCTGTGGAAAGAGCTGAAGACTGCTGTTCACAAACGCTCTCCATCCAACCTCACTGAGCTCGAGCTGTTTTGCAAAGAAGAATGGGCAAGAATTTCAGTGTCTCCATGTGCAAAACTGATAGAGACAAACCCCAAGAGACTTGCAGCTGGAACTGCAGCAAAAGGCGGCGCTACAAAGTATTAACGCAAGGGGGCCGAATAATATTGCACGTCCCACTTTTCAGTATTTTATTTGTTAAAAAAGTTTGACACATCCAATAAATTTCATTCTACTTCACGATTGTGTCCCACTTGTTGTTGATTCTTCACAAAAAAAAAAAAATTATATATTTACAGTATGTTTGAAGCCTGAAATGTGGCAAAAGTTTGAAAAGTTCGAGAGGGCCGAATACTTTCGCAAGGCACTGTAGCTGGTCTCACGACTGTCACGTACCCTTTTCCTTTGACCTTTGCTGACACCCTTTTGTCACAAATCACTCTTGAAATTTTTCTCCATCCACTCCATCCTGCCTGGACTCTCTTTTTAACCTCTTTACCACACTCCCCATTTATCTGGACAGTGGACCCCAAGTACTTAAAGTCCTGCACGTTTGTGACCTCTGCTCCTTGTGCCTCACTGTTCCACCGGCCTCCCTCTCATTCACACACATGTACTCTGTCTTACTACAGCTGACTTTCTTTCCTCGTCTTTCAAGTGCATACCTCCAACTCTCCAAGTTCTCCTCCACCTGTTCTCACCACAGATCACAATGTCATCTACAAACATTATAGTCCACTGAGATTCCTGCCTGACCTCCTCTGTTAGTCGGTCCATCACCAGAGCAAACAAGAAGGAGCTCAGAGCTGATCCTTGATGCAATCTTACCTCCAACTTGAAGCTATCTGTCACTCCTACAGCACATCTCACCACTGTCCTGCTGTCCTCATACATGTCCTGTACCAGTCTAACATACTTCTCTCCCACTTCAGATTTCCTCATGCAATACCACACCTCCTCCCTTGGTACCCTGTCACATGCTTTTTCTAAATTCACAAAGACACAATGGGCTTATTTCTGACCCTCTCTGTACTTCTCCATCAGCATCTTCAAAGCAAAGATGGCATCTGTGGTGCTCTTTCTCAGCATGAAATAATAATGTTGTTCCCAAATTTTCACCTCTTGTCTAAGTCAAGCTTCCACGACTCTCTCCTAGATCTTCATCATGTGACTCATCAACATAATTCCCCTGTAGTTGCTACAACTCTGTGCATCACCTTTGCTCTTAAAAATGGGCACTAGCACACTTCTTCTCCATTCCTCAGGCATTTTCTCACCCTCAAATATGCCATTGAATATTTAAGTTAAAAACCTCACTGCCATCTCTCCAAGACATTTCCAAACCTCCACTGGTATATCATCAGGTCCTTCTGGCTTCTCTGTCTTCATTTTTTTCAGAGCTTTCTGGACTTCACCCTCACTAATCTTTCCCACTTCCTGATCCACAGTTTCTATGACCTCTACTCTTCTTTCACTTTCATTCTTTTCATTCATTAGCTCCTCAAAGCTAATGAATGAAGAGAATGAATGCTCTTGCCGAGGTTGGACGCATTTTATTTATATTCATCATGTCCTGGATGACTGAGAATCTTCACCAGCACATCCTCGTGGCCTTTGACTAACAGTAGCACAATTTCCGCCGGCACCCTGTTTGTCAACAGCACTGGTGGTGGTCGTTGTCAACCCGGGCCTCTACCGATCCAGTATGATGTCACTTACATGAACTTGCTCATGTTGCTGAAATTTTCTGTTAAAAGGGAGTCGTTCCTTTCACTGTCCTTTCCACTGCTGCTCAGGATGGGGTTTGAGACAAAATAGAGTTGAGTTAATTTAATGGTTTCCTTAAATAGACAATCCTGTAACATACTGATTTAGACTGGATCAAATTTTGATTGAACTGGCTGCAATCAGATTGAATCAAATCTGTTTTGAATTGAATTTGACTGTATATTATTGATATGATTTGGACTTGTAACTTTTTGTATGGTTAGTTGATATGACTTATGACTTGTTACTTGCGTTATACAATAAACTGAGTTCATCTAAATAAAATTTAACACTCACATCTGACATTAATGCACAGCTGGCACTTATTAAATGCCTTTTGGACAATTTAACTAAGTTTATCAGACTTCAGAAGGTTTCAAAATTTGCTAACGTTAACCCTAGGGCACATCTACCTCATCTCTGTTGCCGTAGAATGTTATATTCTTACCTGAGCTTTTTTCAACAGACTGATCTGTAAACTAGTGCACACAGAGAATTGTTTTTAATTGTTGGCATTTGCTGTAATTTCAATTTTAAGGTTCATGAATTATAAACCCTCAGTTGCTCTAGTCAGGATGTTGTTTTCTTAACATGTAGCTTGTAGGCAGAGAATCAGAATCAGAATAATCTTTATTATCATTTTACTGGGATACAGTGAGATTATGTTCGTACAGTCGTCCGAAAGATGGGCGGAGTGCACGTTGCTGCTGCTACAAGAGCGCAGCTTCTTATTCTTTATCAGAATACTTTTTTAGTTAGAAAAAGGCCATGACATGAGGATGGATAGTGGTATTACAAGAAAGATCTCTTCACATCTTGTCCGATCAGGACACGATTTGAGACATCAAAAAACTCTACCAGCAAGCACATTTATAAACACAATTACGTATGCATTTGATGTCAAGATGTTGAGATTTGTCCATGAAGCACTTCCATATAGGCTGTAGTCCTGATGATGTTGTAGTTCAGCCGGTAGTTCTGATAAGCCTGTACAGACGTTCTCGGGGGGCGGGGTTGGGGAGGGTGTGATGAACAAAGCTTTTTCTTTAGTTTACCCATGTCCCAGGAGAAATTTGATAATCGGTTATCATCCGAGGCCAAACGGGGGAGTCAGATTCAGATAAGCCACAATTGTTGATTTTCTTTCAAGTCAACCTTGAGTCCTGCTGGTACTTTCCAGATCCAAAATGACCAGATTTTTGGGCATTCCACTGATACGTGCTATCAGCCTTCTTCAATGTCGACTCCAATAGGCTGGTGAGTACTAGAAGCTGCAGGTGGCCTGCGATTCTCACAAATTGCTTCTATCTTACAGTTTAGCTCGTAAAGCAGCTGATTTTGAGTACTCGTAGTACGAACCAAAAAGCAGAAACCCTGCTATCATGAATCCAATTATATAAACATCTTTGGCGTCCTCCTGAGACAGAACTGAAAGACACATCAGCTACCAAACTCCCCACGGATCCCTGATGTATCTTGCAGCGTGAGTCTCGGCAGGACATGAGGGCTCTCCAGGACCCTGTCATTATGTTAAAAAGATTTTGTCAATTGCGTTGAAAGTCCAACTCACCAGATTCATAATAGGATTTTTTCCTTCGGAAGATGTGTACCAGGAGCTCCGAGACACTCCGCCTTGAGAGAGAACAAGAGCAGAAAAGAGGTGGGGTGGGTGACCATCCAGCCATCCGTCTGTCCTTCTGTTTGTCTGTCCATCCATCCATCCATCCATTTTCTGTATCCTTTTAATACATTTCAGTGCTGCAGGGGTAATGATGCCCAGTGGTCAACGAGAAGGTATCAGGGTCCACAGGTTGCAAGACTTTCACAGAGCCAACACAAAGGCAGACTAGACGACCAACTATTCATGCACACACTCATACTTTAGAAGTACAATTTGAACAACCACTTAACTTAACATGCATGATTTTGGACTGTAAGACAAAACTGTAGTCCTTAGAAAAAAACTTAGGAACAAGCAACATGCAAGGAGAGCATGCAGAAAGGACACAAACAAGATCTGAATCCAGGACTTTCTACTAATCACTGCTCTGCTGAGCTGACACATGGCTTGACTAGCACCCAGCAGCATGGGACTCACAGTTTCTCTTATCAGTGGAAGACACATATATTTCATGTCATTTGCTAACACTCGAACTCTGCCACAGTCTTTATTATATGGTGACACAGAGTTTGAACATGTTCACTAGATGAAAAGTAAAATACAAACCAGTACTTTTGTCATTAGATAAGCTAGACACAACACAGACACGTTCTTATATTCAAAAACTTATAACATTTGTTTGTATGAGCTAATATTTTGTGTACAGGGAGCAAGTTTCAGACCTGCAGCTAAGGTTGTGGGTCTGACTTCATGTTTCTGCTGTCAACAGCATCACTTCTTGCACTGACCTAGGAGTGACTAAGCTTCCAGTGGCAACATTTTTAGTTTTCTCCCTTCTTTGGTCTCTCCCTGTTTTTGCCTTGCCTTTATCCCCCACCCTGCCCCCTTCTTCTTCTTTTGTCCATCTTGTCTTTGTTTTTGGCTGTGGCTGATAGTTGGAGGCACTATGAACGGCTACTGGAGCGACAGCCCGTGGTAGAAGAAGAGCAGACGCCAAGTGTCCGAGAAGAAGAAGAAGAAGTGAGAGAACACAAGAAGAAGAACAAACAAATGAGACATCACAGTTTGATCTGTGGCCAGACTTGCATCTACCTCTGTACGAAGATGCACACATGAACATGAATGCACCATCCTTTACTTTTGCTCGTTAAAAAGAAAAAAGAAAAAAAACATGACAGAAGTATTTCCCTTTACCTCTGATGTTAAATATTTTGTGTTTCATATTTTTGTATTTTAAAATTTAATTTAAACATATTATGTAAACATAATTTTACTTTGAGTTTTTTTTTTTCCCAGAGATGTATTTGATTTCATGTACGTTGTATCAAACACCAGTTCCACAACTTCATATTCAACCCAGAAAGTTTTACCTCATTCTGTGTTCATTAATGATGATCTCAAGTTTTGAAAAACTCAAATCATGACCCTGTGAATGTCCTCTGACTCGAATCATGTTTTAATCTGCTCAAAACAAAAGGTTGACAAAACTTCCTCTTACCTTTTTTAACTATTTAAAAGGGTAAGTGACTCCAATCTGATGCTTACTTGCAGCTAAAATGTATTTAAATGAGCAGAGATTGAGAACTAAAAAGAGGAAGGAACCGTAAAAACTGATTCGGTTCAAATGCAAATATTCTAGCAACACCTCACACAGATCACAGAATCATGCAAACATGAAAAAACATGTTATTTACCAAGAGTTTCACTAACCCAAAGTTTCACCATGTTGGTTTGTTTTATTCAGCCCTTTGGAGGCTATATGTGTATATGTATA